TGTAACGGTGGATCTCCCGCGATCTCCCGCGGTCTCCCGCGGTCTCCCGCGGTCTCCCGCGGTCTCCCGCGATCTCCCGCGATCTCCCGCGATCTCCCGCGATCTCCCGCGATCTCCCGCGATCTGCCGCGGTCTCCCGCACCCTGGCGCACCCTCGCGCGATCTCCCGCGATCTCCCGCGATCTGCCGAGATCTCCCGCGATCTGCCCCCTCAGGCGGCCGTCGAGCTCTCTCTGCTCGACCACGCCGCGATCACCAGAGATCATCGCCACCGGCCTCGAGTCGGTGTGCGAGGGGGGCATGTTGTCCTTTGAGCGAGCCGGCGGCATCAGCGGCAAGGGCGAAGGATGAGGAGGCGTAGCACGAGGCGGAGGAGGAGGCGGAGGCGGCGGCGGCGCGGGCGGCGGTTGCGGCGGCCTCGTCTCCCTCTCGGAACACTTGCACATCATGAGCCGCGGCACGGCGCAGCTGATCGGCAGCTCGCCCTAGAAGCGGGAGATCTCCCCAGATCTCCCCAGATCTCCCCGTATCTCGCCCCCGCCGCGTGGCCCTCCACCCTAGAAGCGGGAGATCTCCCCAGATCTCCCCGTATCCCCCCGTATCTCCCCGTGTCTCGTGCCCTAGAAGCGGACACGCGTCTTGGTCGCCCCCCCAGCTGGGGCGCGACAGGGCACGGTGTCGGCTGCAGTTCACATTCGCACCCCCCCCCCCCTCGTATCCGCGCGGCGCTCTGAGTCCTCTACCCTCATGTTGGCGCACCCACCCTCCCCTACCCCACCGGTACCCGAACCCACCCTCCCCTACCCAACGGTACCCGAACCCACCCTCCCCTACCCAACGGTACCCGAACCCACCCTCCCCTACCCCACGGAACCCCAAGCCGCCCTCCCCTACCCAAGGGGACGCCAAGCCGGGTAGCTGTAACAACCATATGCCCGGATGGAGAACTGCCTCAGCTCGGTAATCTCGGAGACCTCCTACTATCTCACGAACTGAACAGCCT